CTCTGCTGCAGCCCCGCTCGCCCCCCGGCACCGGGCGGGTCTCCCCCGGGTCTCCCCGCCGCCGGCGAGGCGGGATGAGGGAGGGAGGGAGGGGGGGGACACCCACCCCGGTGCCACCCGCTGGCCTTCGGCAGAAGGTAACACGTTAATCAAGCCCCGGGGGGAGCAGCTTTCCCTGCCGCGATGAATAATTCATGGCGGGGAGATATTGTCTCCGCCGCCACTTTGCGCGCACCGCACCGGGGAGAGGGTTTCGGCGCGGCCTTTTGTCTCCCCGCGCATCTTCCGCGCAAACGTGTTGCGCGGAGGTGGGGTTGGGGGGGGAAGCAGTGTCTGCCGCGGGGCTGGGCAGGGCCGGGAGGAAGGGGGGCGGCGCGGAGGGGCGCGGAGGGGCGCGGAGGGGCGGAGCGGCCCCGCCTGATGCAGCTGTGCTTCTCGGTGCTTGCAGCGGTGCCGGCGGCGGCCTGGGGGACGAGGCGGAACCGCTGACCAAGCGGCACATAGACGGCATCTTCACGGACAGCTACAGCCGCTACCGGAAACAAATGGCTGTCAAGAAATACTTAGCAGCCGTCCTGGGGAAAAGGTATAAACAAAGAGTTAAAAACAAAGGACGCCGAGTAGCGTATTTGTAGCGATGAGTTAACCAGCCACTCCTGTGTATACAAAGTCCTGAGAGAGAGAGAGAGAGAGAGAGAGAAAGAGAGAGAGAGAGAGAGAGAGAAAAAACCCAACAACAACAACAACAAAAAATCTAAACAAAAAAAAACAAAAGTCATTTCCAAACTGACTGAACAATCACCGCTCCTGTGTTACCTAAACATGTATTTATGTATGAAGTAAAGCCATTAAATGAATATTTTGATAATAATATTGTTTTTCTTTTGTACAAAAGCACTAGAGAAACGCACAGATCTACTTTGTGGACCAATCATTAAGTTATATATAATATATAAATATATATATATAAATACTACTACGAATACTAAAGAACAATTCTTCATATAAAACCTGCACAAGAACGAGAATTCGCCTGAGCTGTTTATGTTTTTATATAAAATAAATAGAAAAAAAAAGACAATCATTGTTTTGAATATTACTCCTATTTTTGTAACGGAAATTAAAAGGATAGTATTTTTATCCGCGACAGGGTCGAAGACATTAATTTTCACCATTTGCTACTGTACATAGAGAAGGATGCCCTGCTCCCAGGGGATTATGAGGAAAATGATTTGGGAAAATTGGTGAAGCAGATTCTTCCCCCGGTGAGTCTCAAGGCAGGCTCCTTTGCCACTAGCCTCTCCGAAGGGGCAGCGTCCCCTTTTCCTCTAGATTTCGATATTTTTTTTTTTCCCTCCTGCTTTCTTTGATTCCGGTTGTATCTGTATTAGCCTCTCCTCAAACAATGAGCTTAGAGGATAATTCTCTTGCGAAAAACAGCTCGATCCAAATTGTCCATCTCTGTTTGCCTATCGGAGGGAGAAATAGTTAAAAACAAAACAACAACCAAATTTCAGAACAAAACAAAGAAACAAACAAAAAAATATGCTAAATTCAAACCCCCAACCCCTAAATCCCGAACCAGCAGCAAGGATAGTGAGTACTAAGCCCCCTGCACTGCTCTTCTGGCTGGCTGGGCAGAGTTGCAGAACAAAGCGATAAGCGGAGACAGGACCCGTTTGGGAAGAGCGGGGAAGTGAGCGGGGGCGGGCCCCCGGCGCGCCCCGGTGCCGGTACCGGTACCGGTGCCGCAGGGTCGAGGGAAGACGAGGCGATCCCACCTCCGATCCGCTACCCAACTGCCCCGGGCAGCTCGGTACTGGACCTGGATGCAAAGTACAGTGTGTTACTCTCCAGTGCTGTCCATGCTTCTCATCATGTGTAACGAGCAGGGTTCTCGCCTTTGCATTTTTCGGTCGGAGTTGCTCTTTTCTTAGATTGTTTTGTTGGATTCTTTTTTTTTTCTTCTTCTTCTTTTTATTTATTTATTATTTTCTTATAGACCCTCCCGCCTCTCATCCTCTCTTCGCACTTTTCCGAGCTCTGTTTAACCCACCTGAGTCACCTTTTTGGGTTATGTTCTTTTGGGGAAAAAAAAAAAAAAAAAAAGATTGTGAACGCTCTCTCACTCCTTTGTTCTGTTTTATGCAAGCTCTTATTGTACAAGTTTAGGAACCCCTGTTGTAGCTACCACTAAAGAATTATGCACTACTACGAAAGTTTTTGTTCCTTGTTTATTGAGTTTGGAGGTAAAATGTATTTTTCTACATTCTGGCTTATTGCTTAGTAAAATTTATTTCATAAAACAAACTTTTGTCATAAAAGAATGTGTAGTGTTCACCTGTGGTCCGGTTTCTAACGAGATAAACCATTTTCACCTCATCTTTCTATGTACGGACTCCTATCTTACCTTCCGCCCCGGGGGACAGTTAAAGCCGCAGCGACCCCGGCCGGGGGCTGGCCCCCCCCGTCCCTCCGCCCGGGCAGCTGGAGGAGGACACGTAGGTACCTGCTTCCTTCCAGCTCACCACACTAAAACCTAAAAGAGGAGTCTTTTCCAAAGACACAAAACCAGCCCCGCATTCAAGACGTCGGAAAGCAACCCCCCCGCTGGCAGCTGGGATCTGTTCTTCAAAGAGCAAAAAAAAAAAAAGAAAAAAAAATTAAAATAATCGCGGGTAAAAAATATATAAAAAAACTCCTTTCCCGGCCGGGCAGAGCCGCCGGGGAGAGGAGAAAGGGGTGGGCAGAGCCCGACGGGGCGGGCAGGCGCTGCCGGCACTGATTGCCCGCACCGCCCGCACCGCCCGCACCGCCCGCCCGGGCTGCCCCCCGCCACCGGGTGCGGGCTCCTCGGGGCGGAGGGACGCGGGGCGCAGTTTGCAGCTTTCGTGCCTTCTCTTCTTCACCTTGTAAAATCGCCACGAGTTCACACGGATGGCTATTTAGTGGCCCTACGATGCTGCAACACATCGGCTTGCCTTTTAGTCGTTAATTCTTCTGTTCTTTGGCGATGGGCAGAGTTTGCTGTGTTTGTGTCGGCTGTGGTACAATGACATAGGGCTCTCTTGACGTTTTGTTTATGACCTTCTCCGTTTAGAGTTCAGTGGCTAGTCGCAAGCATTGTGAAGTGATCACCGAGGTTATTATCCTTTGTACGATTTGATTTTATTTATTTTTATTTTATTTTATTTTATTTTTTTCAGAAACGCCAACAGCCTTACCAAAATTTGAGCAGATCTGAGATACAGTCATAGTTTAGGTAGATGTTAGTCTTGGAGAACTTATTTTGTGTGCAAATGAATATAAAAAGAACTTAAACAAAGTATTATTACACACATGATATCTATAACTAGGACTTTGATAACTGTTATATAAAGTGTGTAAAGTTTGTATTAATAAATTTTTGTAAACAATGCAATTTCGTCTAATGTTTGGGGGAGAGAAAACTAGAACCTAACAGTGAAAGCTGCATTTCATTTAATTTTTTTTTTAATTAGTTCATTTTCAAGCAGCGTTGTTCTAACTTTTCATGTCTGGGATATCTTTTTATTAAGTCTCCACATTTTATCATCAAATAACCTCTAACATTTTTTACCGACGGTTACTCCTCTGTTCCAGTAAACTAAACAAAACTGCTGAAGTAAAGAGCCTAGTTCCACACGCACCAGCTCAATTATAGTCTCTAAAATATGCAAACCAAACCAGTCGGTGCCTATCGTCCCTTCCTCTAACAATTCCTGTGCTTAGAAGCCGTTTATTTTAAGCGGAATCGGTATGTTTGATGAGATCTTCACCTAATCCGCTTTTAATGAACATTCCGTATGTGATAATGTGCTCCCCGGCACCACCGGGCTCGGGCAACGGCAGCATCTTTCTTTGGATTAAAAATGTACTGGGCTGTCCTTAAAAATGATACTGTAACACAACAAAGAGTTACTTAGGTTTTACAGGGTAATTAGTGGCTACAACGAAAAAGCACAGACAGGCAGGGTGGCTTGTCGGCACAACACGGAGGTCAGGATACCCAACCTTTAATCTCCGCTTTACTTTAGCAATAGCTGCTTATGTTTATTATTTTTATTGTAGCTCAGGGACTTTATTTGAGTATGTTGGAAAGTAACAGCAATTTAGTTTAAACTAAACTCCATTTCCTTCTAAGATCATGCAATTAAAAACTAAAGCACAGGAATTAAATGACAATTTCCTAGCAATTTATTTTGCAAAACTCTAAGTCCAGGATTTGAAACAGACTGGTCATATCCTCTCTGCCACGAATTCACCTTCCAGGCTAGTTTCAACAGCAGCATTTCACTGACTAGCTGGAAAACACTGAGAGAACTTAGAAAGCTGGTGGGCTCAGTGGTCTGTGTTAGGAGCTAAGTGCAAAGCGAGATAAAAGTTCTGATTAAATGCAGATTGGGTCAGAGAATAATGCAAACAAATACCTACTGGGGGGAGGGGGAGAGGACCATGATTTCTCATCCCGACAGCTGAGAAATTAGCTCACCTAACTGCTGTTAGGTTTGCTCAGTAATTCTGCAGTGCTCATACATATAACCACACCACATTTCCTGCCCATCTAAATTGGAAAGGTGAAAAGAGTTCCGAGCTGAAGACCTTTGTGGTATTGGTAGGTAAAGGAGGAAACTTGGGATCGGTCTACCTGAAAAATAAGGTCATCTACTTCAAGTCCTGGCACTTGTTGAAGATGTGAAGAAGATGGAAAATTTTGCTGTAGATGACAGAGACGGTCCCAGCCTCAATCTACTGGAGTTTCTCTTTACCAAATCGAATATGTTTTCATGAAGAAGCTCTGCTCTATTCCCAGTGATTTAAACTGCCACCTGAAATGATACACTTGGAAAATGTGCAATACTGAGTCTTATAACATGAGTTTTGTGGGGATTGCTGATGTTCTGTATGCTGCTATATGACTAGCAGCAGAAACAGAGAAAGGTGGCTGAGGAAACGTGAATGACTAGACAAGACACGATTTTGGAGCCTTGCATTATAAGAACCACCCCCCCATTCAGTCAAAGCATCAAACTCCAGTCAGTAAAGGTGGCTGAACAGAGCAGGACAGACTGCTTCAGGTTCCAGCCCTCAGAAACCTGGTGCAACCCCACATCTGTCACAGAGCATCAGAACCAGAAGAGTCTGAACAAATCCATTTCTGTAGAGCCCTGGTGTAAACTCAGCTGTGGCTGGCATCTGCCTTTCACAGGATTTGCTTGTGAGGGTGCTGACCCGCCCTCCAAGAGGCTTTCAGCCTTCTTCAAATAACAAAGTTCATCTATTGGTTGTGTACATTTTCACCTAGAGTTAAGGAAAACAGAAAATCAGGAGGAAGTTTGATCTTTTGGGGGCTTGTTACTAGCTATTTTTGCAGCTTAATTTCCAGTTTCAGGCTAAATCATTTAGTTTTTCTTCCGGAAAAACCTTCAGGGAAAGCACATCCCTGAAAATTTTAAGGACCTCATGCTTAGCCTCTAGAAGTACATGTCCTCTTAACTACACTCATAGATTTTTAAGACCCGAGGGGGCACTTATGATCATCTACTCTATCTTAGGTAATACAGGGCATAGGATTTCATGGAGTCCTTCATTTAGCATTTAATTTCTGAGTGAGCTGTTCTGTATGACAGCAGTATTGATTGCAGAACTCACAGGAATGGCAAATTTGCTGGGCAAGTCGTTCCAAATGTGGCATTTTAGCACTATGTTCCTTGTTTCAGTTTGTCTCATTTTTGACTCCAAGATTTGTAGCCTACTGAAGAACCTCTAACGCCTGTAGATTTTCCCCTCCATGTAGTAGTCTTAGGCACAGATTTGCTCTCCTCTATGCCCTATCTTTAAGGTATCAAGATTGATCTTTAAGTGTTCGCCATGAAGGAGGTTTTCCATAGATGGGATTATTTCTGAGTCATTTGCATTTATTAACATCCTTGCTAAAGTCTTGAGACCAGAATTGGTTACAGTATCCAGCAATGACCACCTTGAGGATGTGGTAAAAAGTAGTAACTTTCCTCTTCTTCCTCAGGGGCTGCTCGTTGCTAAAAGGGTTGTATTTTCTCTCTTGGCCATTTCACCATGCTGGGAGATCACAATCTTTTCATAATCCTTCCTCACACCTAGCTTCTTTTCCAGATGATTACTTCACATGCACAGAGGTCCAGGCCTGGAAGTGACACCATCATTCTTGCTTCCTATTTTGTACTACTTTGTGTTAAGTTGTCTTAAGGCACAATATTTTCACCACTCAATTTCCATGTTTTGTCATTTCTGCTGTCACCTGGCACCCATTCCTGTCACTTTTAGACGGAGCAGACCCATTCTAGCAATGTCATTTGTGCATCATGATACATGGGCCCAACCCATTCCCGGTGTAGATCTGTGTGATTATGCCAGAGAAGGATTTGGCCCAGTATAAGTACAAATCCTGGGACAGAGCAAGTCAGAGTGACTCGTAGCAGGCTGCTGGCCAAATCTCATTCTTTTGCACTTGGGTTACTAGAATCAGTCCCAGCCTGGTGTAGCTGAGGGCCATTCTAAACCTGCATGGAATGCCTGGAAGTGCTTTCTGCGAAAAAAGGCTCAGTTACTTACCTGGAATCTGTGGAGAAGAGAAGTAGTATCTGCTGCATTAGAGGTAATGGGATTAAACTGGTAAGGTAGAATAAGTGTAAAACCTAATGCGTCTTTTGCAATAATTATTTAACTGGCTGTTGATAGGGTTTATTCAAGCCTTAAAATGGGATTTAGTTTTGAACAATGAGAATGAGAAATATGCCAGTTTACAAACAGTGGAGACAAGCATCCTATGTTTGTCATTTATACAAAAGTGTTTTACAACTTCGATAACGAAATATCTATGATAGATAGATATATTGATCTCTGTAACAGTATAATTTCTTTATGTGGATCACAGAAAGAAGACCTCTTTCTCTTCAGGCTCTGAGATGAATTTCAGATATTCTACTTTAAAAAGAACGTCATGGAGATTTATGGCAGTACGAAGTAGAGAAGTTGGACAGAAAAATGGCAGTCACTTCTGCTTCTTCTGTAGTGTCCTCCAGCATCTCAGTACCAGGATATGAGGAATTGCATAGGTATAATTGGATGGGAAAGGATCTAGCATGAGCAATCACCTCCCAGATGACATTCCCGACATGGAAGTGTGAACTGGAGAAAGGAGAGGGACGTTGGGAATGAACAGTTTTACAAGAAAGGGAATTTCCATTGTTATCTTCCATGGATCCCTCAAAGCAAGCATCCAGGTAGGATCCTGTTTTTCTCATTTGCTGGATCAAGTACTTGGGACCGAAGGGCCCACTGACTTCAGACTGATGTTAAAGGGTAGAAACACTTTAACGAAAATT